AAAAATCACTGACACAAAACCACTCGCGGTTAACTCTTGGAGCAACGATTATATGTGAGCGACTTTTTATATTTTAACGCAAATCCACTGATATATATGTAAATATTTTATGTGCACGAAATGCCAGCCACGTACCTTTTATTATCCTGAGTTAACGGATGTAAATTAAGCTGTGGTGTGTGTGGTATCAGCAAATTGCTCGTGATGTCTAGGAATCTATCTCAGTCGCTACAGATGCTCCGCTTTGAAATTGCAGTTTAACAAAATATCCGTGTGTGCAGAACTTTAAATATCGGTGCTCCTTATGTTGTGGACTGTAAAAATTGTGTGCTTAGTAAAAGGCCTCCTGGTGTTTTCTTTCTCGGCGGAGATGGACCATGGAAAAACCGTGGCGATTATGTGGTTTGGCAACTCCAATAAATCACCAGTGTTTTTATTTGAAAAACAGGAAAAAATAAAAAGGCCAAGTTTTAGTATACTTCATATAAATTGGTATGTGGCGGTTTATTCAATATACATGTACTAAGGTTAAAGCTAGGTTACAATGTTACCTTGATAAGTGCGCAGGAGTGATGGCTGGCAGACGTCCGTTGATCCTTGAGTTCTCGCTAGAAGTGCCCGCGCTAATTCTTGCGAAGTTAAGTTTGACCTCCAAGCAGCAAACTGTTTGGAGGGGAAACTTAACGAAGTTTGATATTCAAGCGGTAAACTAATATTTGTACATGCTAACGGCTTCGCCTTAATCAGGCTGTCTATGTATATGTGCATCCGTTGCACATTTATAAAATTCAACGTTAGGGTGGTTCACCCTTTTAAGTATTTGGTTTAGCCTTTAGGCCTAAACAGATACTAAAAAGAAGTAACATTTTTATGGAATTTTGGAAAATGGGCGTGTTACCGCCCACATATAACTATATAAGTTTATCCCATTATGTCTAGCTGAACGTTCTATCGAAGATGTTTGAAATGGGGATAAAACCACCTCAGCTTACCATGTAGCGGTAGTTTTCGGAAAGGTGAAAAAACTATATTTAACTTGGACTTTTTTACTTGTTTTTGACGTAGAATACGTCTTACCTTACGATATGGAGGCTATGCTGAAATGTTGTAGTTGTAATTTTTAGAGCTTCACAAAAACGCTTATTACACGAGAACTAATAACGCGATTTCAAAGAAAAGTGTGGCATTTCAATGATAAAGTTCCAAGTCTATCGACAGATACATTTCTGTAAGTAACCGATTCGGTGTCTGTCCTAGAAACAACGGTAAATATTGCCCTATTTTGGGGTCAATTTTGAGCCTCTAAAGTGCTCCAGCAGCTTATGATTTGCAGATATAGCTTCCATTTTCGGGATATAGATTCTTTGGAGCGATAGAAATATTATCGTGTACAGATTTTACACAAATTCAACAAATATTGAGCATTTTAAGGCAAAAAATTGTTGACAAATTTGTAAAAAATTTGTATCACCAAAATGCTTGAAAACCGCTCGAATGATTTTATTTTTGTTTTCTTTAATCGAAAATTTAAGAGTTTTCCTTTCGTTTGGTGTATGGGAAGTATTGGTTGATATCTTCTAAGTATGTTTATTTGATTCAAATATATGGGCATAAATCATTTCTCATACAAAATCACTTCGTCATCGTTTTGCAACCACGTGCCTGCGTTGGAAGTGAGGGATGGAGACAAAAAGTATGTATGTGTAATTAAGTACATTGTTACAACCTATCACTTTGCTTGCCAATTGCGAACTGTTTTATTATGTTCTTTCGTTTATGTTACATGCTATATTTATATGAGTGTGTTCTTATGCATACATAGTAATGATACAACATCTCTCCCCCACTATAAAATGATCCAATATATACATTTATTTTTCTAAGATAAGAGAGTGCTGATTTTGTATGATGTTACATGTTAAATGTGAAGTTACGAATTAATAAATTTTACATTTTTAAGCAGTTAATAATTCATGAATTTATCTATGTCGTAAAGTCTTTATATCGTTCCGGTACCCTCCGGTTACGTGTTGATCTTCGAACAGTGGTGTCATCTGTATTATTCGTCTCACTTTCCGTTGTCGTCTGACGCTGTGGAGAATCATTCTTCTCTCGGGCTATGGTAGGTTCGTCGGCTATGGGTCGATCGGCTAGGCTCGCTGAGGGCTGAAATGTCGTGGCCTCGTACAGCGTTATCTGGTCATCTTTCCTCTGATCCACTTTTTCCGGCTCTTCTGGCATTTTCCTTGAATGGATCACTCCCTCGCCTACTTTTCTCATTTGGTCCACATGCCTCTTCCACGTTCTACCGTCGTCTAAACGAATGTCGTAGTGTAAACTACCCAGTACCTCTTTGACTATTCCAAACTGCCACTTAGCGCTCGATAGATAATCTCGCACTGCAACTTTGTCCCCTACGAGGAATTGCTTCTTAGGTGGGCGTTCTTGGTCGCTTCTGCTGTTACTTGGGAGCAATAGTTCTAATTTGGATTGGATCTGCCGACCAAACATATTCATCGCGGGTGATTTCCCTGTTGCAGGGTGAATTGATCGACGATAAGCCATTAGAATGTTTGCCAGCTCGCGATTCATACTATTCGAAGTGCAATTAGCTGAACGTAGTTTGGTCTTTACCGTTTGCACAAACTTTTCCGCTTGGCCATTAGTCGCAGGGTGGTACGGTGCGCCTTGTTTATGTGTGATGCCGTTGTTTTTCAAGAAACTTTGGAACGCCTTTGAATTAAACTGCGTTCCGTGGTCGCTCACGAAAACGTTGGGCAACCCGAAAGTAGCAAAAATATCTTCGCACCGTTGTATTGTAGTTTCAGTATTCATATTCGGGACAATATGTACTTCGGGCCACTTGCTAAACGCATCTACAAGTACGAATAAGTACCTTCCAAATATTGGGCCTGCATAGTCCGCATGGACTCTTTCGAACACCTTTGTAGGTGTTGCCCAACAATGCACTGGTGTATTCTTTTTCGGTTCTGCTCTTATCAACTGGCATGCGTTGCAATTCGATACCAAGTTTTCGATATCTCTATCCATGTTGTGCCACCAACAATATGCTCGACCAAGACTTTTCATTTTCGACATTCCGAAATGAGCTGTATGTAGTTCCTGTAGTACTCGCTTGCGTAAGGGTTTTGGTATGTAGACCCTGATACCACGCAAAAGACAGCCTTTCTGTAGCGTAAATTCCATCTGTTCTACTCCAAATCGGTCCTTTGCATCGCATTCGCGACCATATTTAAGACATTCGACCAATTTGTGTACTTCCCGATCTGCTTTTGTTTTTATACTTAGCTCCTCTACGGTCACTGGCTTGTTTTGTATCGCTTCGTACTCAATAATATCCACCTCTTCAATACAATAGTATTTTTCCGGGCAAGGTAACCTCGACATTGCATCGGCGTTGGTGTTCTCCGCCCCCTTTTTTGTTTTTATTACGTAGGTAAAAGATTGTAGAAATATCGCGTAATGTTGCATCCTGGTTGCGGAACATGTTGGTAACCCTTTTTGCGGCGAAAATATCTGTGCGACTGCTTTGTTATCTGTAATTAAAGTGAATTTCCTGCCGAATAAGTATTGGTAAAATTTCTTCACCCCAAAAATAATTGCATAAGCTTCTCTATCAACGTGACTGTAAGCTTGTTGCGTTCTGTTCAACGTTTGGGAGGCAAACTGTATCGGCCTTTCCGTGCCATCCGCAAATGTATGGCTCAACACTGCACCCACCCCGGTCGGGCTCGCGTCCACAGCTAGTGTAATTGGTAATTTAGGATCATAGTGGGTCAGCACAATGTCCGATTGCATAACGTCTTTTATTGACTGTAAGGCATTTTCACATTTGGCATCCCAATTGAACTCAACTTTATTCTGCAACAATCTATTCAACGGATATAGAATACTACTTAGGTATTTTACAAATCTCCCGTAGTAGTTAATCAACCCCAAGCAAGAGCGGACTTCGTCTTTGTTGGTTGGCGTTTTCATGTTTTGAATAGCCTCCACTTTTTGTTTCATTTTGTGGATGCCTTGTTTATCTATGAGATAACCGCAGTACTCAATACGATCTGCTAAAAATTGTTACTCACCAAGGTTGACCCTCATATTGTGATTATCTAGACGGCGTAAGATTTCTTCCAATCGTTCAAGGTGTGTTGCATCGTCGGGTGCAGTAAGTTTGATGTCATCGAGGAACACAGTAACTCCCGGAATGTCTCCCACCAACTTCTCCATGAACCTTTGCCAAACCGCTGGAGCGCAAGCAATGCCGAACATCATCCTTGTAGGTTGGTATAAGCCCCGATGGGTGCTCAATGTTAGCAGGTGCCGATCGTCCGGATGAATTTGCAATTGTAAATACGCCTTTGACAGGTCAATCTTTGTAAACTTTGTACCTCCTGCCGTATTCCTGAAGAGTTCGTCTATTGTCGGTAGTGGGTGTTCATCTATGCGTAGTGCAGGATTCAACGTAAGCTTGTAGTCGCCACAGATTCGCACTTTGCCTTCCACTTTTTGTACCACGACTATGGGTGAAGCCCATTCGCTCTTATCCGTTTTTTTCCAACAATCCTTCACTCACCTGCTTGTCAAGTTCTGCCTCTACAGCCTCCCAAAGTGGGAATGGCACTCGCCTTGATTTAATAAAACATGGTTTGCTGTTTGGTTTTAGGTGTAACCTTACTTGATGCCCAGCAATAGTTCCGATTGTATCCGAAAACAAGTTTGGAAATTTCTTTATTATGCTTTTCACCTGATCTTGCGGTTTATTTTGTGAAATACTCTTTACTACACCATCTGCGTCGAGTTGGTCGTGGAAAATTCTTGACCAATTTAACTTTACAGCTCTAAGCCACTCCCTGCCTAGCAATGGTTTACGATCCGACCGCACTATGTATAGTTTCGCTTTTGTATTTCCTTCGTCGCAACGTACCTGGACGTCAATGTTTCCCAAACATTCCAACCTTGTGTTGCAATAGCTATAGAAGCTTGTATCACTCTCCTTCACTTTAGCTTTCGAAAAATATTTCTTTGCGAGCCTGTATCAATTTCAAAAGAAATTAGTTCACCCTCCACATCTAAAGAACAAAGTATTTTACGTCTTGGCTCAGCTTTGTTATTTAAGCAACTTATTTGGAATAAGTCTTCTACCTTACAGTCAGTATTTTGCTGTAACGTTTCCTTTTCATCAGAAATTTGGTTAATTTGCTTCTTTTTC